TATGTATATATATATATATATATATATGTGTGTGTGTGTGTAGAGAAAGAGAGAGAGCGCAAAAGAACATATAGAAACCCTAATCCATATTGGTGTGTATCACATGTTCATTGTACAAAAACTTGCCCTACCCAAATCGCATTTTCTTTTGCAAGCAAACACATGGTGATTTGTAGGGTTATTTGTCCGCCATTTTTTGGGTATGTATAAAAAATGTTGAAACACAATCCACTTCACCATCCTCTTATCAATCTTGATACTTGTTTTATATCGATATCTGATTATCACAAAAGCCATTATCCAAAAAATGACGTAACAACCAAAATCTTAAACATTTTTTGTTTCTCGAATGTTTGTTTCTAAAACCCTATCGGTGTGACAAATGTCCACCTTTTAGCCTATAAATGTCTTAGTAAAGTTAGGTCTTTTTGTCATAACCTCATATGAATCATAATTGATGTAATTTTTTTACTGTCACGCTTAATAATAACTGATCTTCACTGTATAGAATTAATTACCAGCACATAGCATGATAAAAGGGTGGGAATTAGTGCTGCTAACGCTACATATTATTCTCTTTGGATGATAAAACACCCGAATCATCCACTTATTTTTGTGATAGATGAGTAATCGCTAATTTAATAGTATAAAATTATTGTGTCCCGATTTCTACTACATAAAACAAAGTCAAACAGACAAACAGTCATTTATGATATATATTTTTAATTTAATTTAATGAGTATCATTGTTTTGAAAAGGATAAAACGTATATTTAAAATCGATTACAACTGCTCTAAGGATATAACTATTTAGAAGTAGAAGATTTAATCAAACTTCTAAAAGTATATATATAAAAATAAATTATTAATATCATGTGGAAATTAATTTATTATTTAATATAATTAATAAGCAATAAGTTGAAGATAAAATGATCAAGTAAGTCGACAAAACGAAATGACGTGTATAGATGTAACACGTTTATATAAAATACGAAGATTGTTGGCTTAATTGATTAATAAAAAAAAAAGCTTGACTGGTTTAATTAATGAACGTCTTAACAAGACAATTATATTGTGGGGTTTACTGATGTCGACAATAAAATTTGATTTAAACAATAATTTTAGATTGCAAAAATATATTATTCGTCCACTTAAACTTATTTAAATTACAAAATAACATATAAATATTTTATTCAAATTATTTATCTAAAGAATGATTCTTATTAAATATATACGTAAAAGATTGTCTAAGGGATATTTGTTTGGTTTTTCATTAACTCCGTATGAATAAAATTGTATGTGTGAATTAATATATCTATATATATATTGCAATCTGTGTAGATTACTATATCTGTATAGATTGGACTTGTTTTTGTTTGGTAAAGTTTTCATAGAAAAAAGAAGTGTGTTTTTATTTGGGAGAACAAGTTTTGAAATCAATTTCTGCATAAAGCTTCTTCTACAACTTAACTGAACAAGTCATTTTCTATATTATTAAGCCACTACTAAAAAGTCGTAGATAACTGATCGAATAAGTTGTGAATTTTATTAAACTGTTAACAAACATACCCTAAAATATACTGCAAAATTAATAAATTATTAGTCACTTTATGTGTGTGTATATATATATGTATATCATATAATATATATATTTGGAATCATGTGAGACAAACTTGTTTTCGTGAGACATGTGAGACAACATTTTTACACTTGAAACTTCACAGAAAAACATTGTGAAGGTAACATTCACAGTGTTTTTGCTGTGAAAGTTCGGCTTCTTTTTATCTTTACAGTGTTTTGCTGTGAAACTTCAAGTATAAAAATGTTGTTTCGCATGTCTTATGAAAACAATTTGATCTCACGTGTATATAATCATATGTATGTATGTATGTATGTACATACGTATGTATGTATGTGTGTATGTATGTACATACGTACGTATGTGTGTATGTGTGTATGTATGTATGTATGTATGTATGTATGTATGTATGTATGTATGTATGTATGTATGTATGTATGTATGTGTGTATGTATAGACTATGTGAATTTTATTCAATCAATCATATTTTTTTTTCATTTTTTTTTAATTATGAGAGTTGATTAGTTATTTTATTGTTAAGGGCGTTAATATGGACATTATCATCTTCATTGTATTTTCGATATATTAAATCTAATCGCTTAATTTTAGAAAACAAAATTTATTATTATTTTTGTAACCAAATTTCATTATTATTTTTGTAAAATTTTTTTTTATTATACATTGTATTTTCAGATGTATTAAGTTATAACGGTTGAATTTTAGAAAACAATATTATTATTATTTTTGTAAACAAATTTATTATTATTTTCTCTAATATGGATACCAATTTCATTAAACACCAAAAAGCATCATAATGAAAGCAATTCCATCAAAATTAGAATTACGTGAAACAATTTCATTTTTACATAGTAATAGAAATACATGAAACAATTTCATCAAGAAAAATAATTACATGAAATTGTTTTATCAGATTAAACAATTTCATCAAATTAAATAATTTCGTTAAACAACTTTATCAGATTAAACAATTTCGTAAAACAATTTATAGAGATGGGGGAGGGGAAACACACGCGACTGAACCTGAAACGCATATGATATAGACATTCTTATTTTGTCTTATTTGATTATGTTCTTGTTTGAACTTCCGTCTAAAAGCAAACGAGAACCTAGACAAAATACGAGAACAAATCTGGTTTCATCCATTGGATGTTCTTATTTGATATCCATTGGATTAGATGAGATCCAACCAACATAAATTGGATTGGATCAGATCCATCAGACATCCAATGGTTGATCAAATTGGATAGAATTTACACAGTTTGTTAATTCAATCCAACTTTTCAACAATAAAACGAAAGAATTAATCACTTTTTAATATGTGTTAAAGCCAACATAAGCAAGACTAAGAATTCAAAAACCAACTCAAAACAAATTCCGAATAAAACAAATTGAAAACAATTCATTGGATGATAACTGTATAATGGTTGAATGGATAACTGCATAATCATCAAAATGGTTAGTTGGAAGGGTTGGTCGGTTCTCAACTGCCATCTAAAAACCGACTGATTCAAATTGGATGATGAAATTTTCAATCCGATCCGATCCGATTCAATTATAATTAGATATTCAATTACAGTCTATCGGTTTTAATTGGTTTTAACCTACAATGGATAGTTCTAACATCAAATAAATATAAAATTACTTAATTGCCCCTTCAAAATCTTTATATATGATCACTATCGAAATACACGACTTAGTCAAAATTGCAATATTTTTGAAATGATGAAGGGGAATATTTATATGAAGTACAAGGAGATTTGATGAAGATATTGTCCATGGTAAAATCGTTTATTTTGATTCACATTTTGACTTCTTTATTTCTTTTTTTAGAAAATTCTTTTTATTCTGATGTTTAATATTACGTAACGAGAATAAAAACCAAATAAAATATTACGGAACAGTTAAAAAAATAGAACAAATCATTATATATATATATATATATATAATATTACAAATCAAATCAAATAATACATTAATTATATACAGGTGTCGTTCAAGAGAGAATTCAGTAATATGTGATAACCGTGAA